GCGTGACGGGCGAACGCTTTAACCACTAGGCTACCAGAACTATATCTACAAGATGTTCAAATTGATTATGGTTATTCATAGTTCTTTTAACAATACACGATCTCGAACCTTCTAAGTTGTCTATGTTTATGATCGCAGCTGCTAACATATCTTCCCCTACTACCCGGACCGCCTCCGTGGTCTAATGGTAGAGCGACCGCCCGGAGAGCGGAAGGTCCGGGGTTCGATCATACCAAAAGACGTTAAAAGATGGTACTTGTTGTTACCCTGTCTGGCGCTCGGCATTAAGGGGCTAAAACAAGGACTGGTCGGCTCAGAGTCAGTATACTGTGTCTGAGTGGGGTATTCATGTTAAACTGCGGCATGGTATCTCAGTGTGCTAGCACTTTAAGTCGGCATCAGTCCGGACTAGTACAAGCAGCCACACACACACACATACACGTGCATGCACGTCGCTATATAAGTGCAATAATCTTGGATGCGACGTTAAACCCCATTTCACCTCACCTCCCCTACTACCCTAGACACCCTTATTATATTATTATTCTTTGTATAAGCAAACATTTGGTGTTGAAATGTATATTACAAGGCTGTCATGTGATAAAGTTTGAAGCATTATGGCACGTTTCAGATGTAGTTCTCATCATCTAAGAATTGAATCAGGTAGACATAACAAGGAACCTAGAGAAGAAAGAGTTTGTACTGTCTGTAAACATTGTTATATCGAAGATGAGTATCACTTTATTTTAATTTGTGATTGTTATCAAGTTTTGAGGTCGGAATATATATCCTTGCATTATTATGAGTTCCCGACAAGACATAAGTACAATATGTTAATGTCATCTACCAACCCATTTACTGTTAAGAAACTACCCATGTATATTCTGAAAGCTATGAATCTAAGGCAAAGTATGTTGGGATCTCCAACTCCCATTACCACACTGTAACCATTGTATCATGGGCCTATGGCCTACAATACATCTGAATAAAGTGAATGAATACCCTAGACAGAAATCAAAAGGGGGTATCGTCCTATGAGGTGTGGAGTATTGTCCGGAGGGGCGGTGTCCGGTGGGGAAACGTCCGTGCGGGGTAATGTCTAGATTCCGAAAAAAAGGGTATTCAGAGTATGTGCATGTCTACAATCTTACAACAGTAATTTACACCAAAAAGCATTAAGACATTGTACATTTTCTATTCAGCAAATATTGCCAATGATATTTGTGCAATCTCAAGTTATAAACAAATCGGCCTATTAACTCATTCAATTGTGATATAAACGGTCCAAGTCCTTGTGAATACAATTGGTATAATCATTATCTGCCTGTCGTGTCATAAGCAGTGTTCATAAGATCAGTTGTTTAAAATGTAATACATAAGAAAAAAATAAAAGTCATAACCTTCCAATCAGAAAGGTCCCCCAACCCAACACACACCACACCAATCTACCCCCCACCCCCCTTCAACCCAACACCCCTACACACCCACCCTAACCCACCCACGAATTACAATTCCGACTATGTCATAAGCATGTGTTCATGAATCACTGTTAGATAGTGATGATACCAGGAGTTCGCGAAAAAGGCGAAAGAAAAATGAATGCCAAATGTTTCTCCATAGATCAGTAATTAAGCTATACATGCACCTTTCAAACAGACATCGTATTTTTTCTTATTTGTGGGTTAACAAAGGCACTTAACACGTTAATAGTCTGTGCTGCCCTTTAAAGAGTAGATGCTTCGTCAGACAGACAGGTATTGTATTTAAGTCTCACCTTGGCATTACATAAAATCGACATTTACATAAGACATGACAAACATAATGCGCAGGCCATTCCAAAGCACGGATAAGAGACTTAAAAACTTTAAGAGTATAATACATAGAATTTTATAGTCATTAAAAGTTATAATATCAATTTATAGATGTATTATATACAGGGTTTTTAAAATCATTTATAAAAAAAATATATCGACGTCTTCTTATGATATTAAAACAGGTTTGGGCGCAATAAAAGTTCAAATGAGGTTGAGTAAGGAGTACTGGAAATTTATCTGCTTCGGGTAAAACAGAAATTTGGATTAGAAGATTCTGCTTCATTAGAGATCTTTCTAGATTCTCCTCAGATCATCATAAATTGGACAGTTTAGAATAACATGCAACTCGTCTTTAACACAATTGTTCTCACACATTGGACACAGTCTGTCATCAACAGGTATATTTTCATATTGTCCAGTTTCGAGTACATGTACATACATAGTTGAATGTTCGTTTACTTCAACAACTGCTTAAACATGTTATGTTTATTTTGCAAGACCCTCTTGTGACAACAGCCATTGAACCACCATCAATAACATGATAGTTTGTTAAGCAACGTTTTCTACGCTTCATGACAGTGTCTGAAATTATGGTGACGCATTAGTATTGGCAAAAAATAACTTTCATCCTATTTTAGACGAACTGTTGGAACTTTCGGATTTATATACTCGTATATTCTGCATTTCATCAGTACGATTTTGCAGAAAACGGACTGTAATATAATGTATAATGTGATAGAAACTATAAAGAATAAAATATTTTGTCACTTAACGTTGAGTGGAGGCTAAGTAAGACAGTTATTGATATGATGATATTAATGAATGCCACTAAAACTAAAACAACAAATAGTTCTTGGAGATTTATACAAGAAACTGCACTCCTGAGTAGATTCCCAATGTTTTTTAGTAACACAAGACCAGTGATCATACCAAACACTAGGATTACCAATAGCAACAAACAGATTGTTATTTAACACAGAATCAATTCGAGATAACATTAGAGGCAACAAGACTAAATCAGTATGTAAATCCTGGTTGTACTGGAAAATATACCACAATGTGTCAACTGGATTTCGATTGATTTATGTGCAATGTGAAATTCACTGAAACTTGAGGTAAAACTTATTGATTTTATTTACTGTTGGCAATAGATTCTTGTGTTGTGTGATCTCTCTTTGTTGTTGGATGGATACTGTCTTTAGGATCCAGACGTAACAACTCTAGTTTTACCGGCTGCCTGGGTGAGCTTACAATGTGACTGAAGGGGTTAGCTTAAGATTACTTAAAAACACATATGTGACGTAATTCTATTGTTTGAAAACTCCATTACTTTTCAGGAATGGAGAGTTGTTTGTCAACTATACATTATCGTAAACCAACATTTGAATTAATTTCCACTTGGAATAGACGGAACTATTTTTTACATTTATTGACAAGTAAATAATTTCAATTTCTTTCCGAAAACATGTGTGGCCAGGGGGGTTCGAACCCGCATCGTTTGATTTGAGAACGTGTAATTGTCAACCTCAGCTACAGCAGCACATGAAGAACTCGTGTGAAATTAACTATTAAATATTTTCATAGTTTTGCATAATACCTAAAAGCTCAAAATAATATGTATATAATATTGTGTTAGAGCAGGTTACCTACAACAATGTTCATATTTACAGCAATGAGATAAACCTTTGGCGATAAATACAAATCAGGTAATATATATCCTTGTTAGGGGCTCTATATTTCCTATTATTCCCGTCAGCATGTATTGACAATATGCAAGCAATAGATAAATACAAGTTTAGGACCCAACGAAATTATGAAGAGCCGTGTACCATGCGTTGTAAATGTCAGCTCGCGACGGAGCTTTGCGCACGTGCAACTGCGGCAGAGAACGCATTCTTCGTGCATCCCGCAAGGGCGACTCACGCAGTATAAATACAGACAACAAAGAGTTCTGGTTTATTTTTTCAAATATTTTCCACAACAGAATATTTTGTCAAAGTGTAAAAGTAGGGATGAGTTTTAAGTAGGAGATTATCCTCGTAACTCTACATTCCTTAAAAATAAAGGAGCAGAGGCCCCGCAGGACATTCCCCTCTACATAAGTCACTGTTGAAAACACAATGCCAAAAAAAGTACTAGAATCTGTACTTTACTAAGAAAGTGTTATCTCAAATATAACATTAGTTACATTTGACCACTTTCTAAATGGCATTGTGTATTCATGGCTTTCGGCCATGGGAGCCGTGCCAATTTACACTTGCCAGGGGGGTACTCAAAGTACGTGATCTAGACTACCAGTTGTCGGACTTTCATTTTTTGTGGGTGGCTGAGTGGGTTAGATCGCTGACTTTGTGTGCTGGCGATTAGGTGCCTCACCCTGGCAGGTGTGAGTTCGAATCCCGGACGGGACTCAACCCCAAAAAGTACTAGAATCTGTACTTTACTAAGAAGGTGTTATCCCAAATATAACATTAGTTATAAGTCACTGTTGTTGTTGTTATTGTTTTAATTATCGATGTGACTGTGTTGAATGGACGTTTTAGTTCACGTATTCCTAGCTGAAAATTCAAACAAGATGACTTCTGTGGCATGTCCGTGGGACAGTAATCGTTTATTATTCAACATACGCACATGTATATATTGCACTGGTACACACCCTGGTACGACTTGTATCAACTGAAGGACGTGGTGTCGAATTACCGTATGTATACACTGCGATGAACTTTGGCATCATGTAGTTGACACCGAGGTCTATTTAAACGTATTCAGTATTGCAATTAGGTAAAATTACTGAACAAAAATAGCTAGGGATCATGTGTAGTTTGGGGATACGTTTTAAAGTGAAGACTGAGTACACAATTTAACCAAATATATCCCCCAAACTATTAATGATCCTTAACTGTTTTTGTTTACTATATAATATGCATATTTCGTAATTAAACCTCGCACAAGCAGGAAAGGGATATAATTAGCGTTAGTGTATGTAAACTTCCGGGCAAAAGAAAATACATTCTTGAAAACTCGATTTGACTAAAAATTACAAACGTTATTAAAACATTAGGAGCCTGACGTATTGTGAGATCGTTATTGATATGATGCATGCCATATCGCCGATGATACCCGTATCAAATACATCAACATCCAATAACCATTTATTGTTTGCTTCAAAAATGGGTGTATACTTACTTTTGCTCGGCAGTGTATTTATTCAATAAATATTATCAGATGAGTGGGGTGGTCCTGTTTAGTAAACAAAAGCGAATAAGGGAGATAAATATAAACATAAACAAATACAAGTCATAAGAAATAATTTTGATGAGACAAATTTTTCAGAAAATCTTACATAAAACAGCATTGGAAATTCTAAATGTTGAAAGGTTTATACTACACACTGATTTGCTAAAAGTCAGGATTCACAAATCTACCTTTAGCTGTGTGTTAGGCAGAATACCTTTTGCCAGCAGTCACTTCACATCCCTCTCCGTGGTAATCAAGAGTTATGTCCCTTTCACCAGACAATACACGCAGTGCTATTCTTAGCAGTGTGTGGGGGTTTAATGTTAATTCACTCCGTGTCATTTGGGTTTTTTTCAGGTCGTGATGGACAGTTCTGAGTGTGTGTGGTTTATTTATATACCAAGGGATCTTCATTTATCCACTCAGTGTCAGAAAACAATGAATGCCGGATATCACGAAGGCGCTGTATTATCTATATGACTAATGTGATTATTTTTAATATTTCGTGGTTTAAAAGTAAAACAAAAATAGTTTATCAAATTAGCTTACATACACCTACATAAACTTTAATGAAGGCAATGTTAGCATCAGCGACTTAGAGAACCCTAATTACATTTGCATTGAAGTATTGCTGAAGTAAATAGAATATAACAAACTTTATCAACACATTTCTAGGCTGGAACCATCAAACACGGGTTTATACTTTCTCCTGCCCGACAGTTTGGTTGTGAAGACTACAATGACCTATTTCCCGAAGATTACAATAACCTTTTTCCCGACGACTACAATAACCTATTTCCCGACGACTACAATGACCTATTTCCCGACGACTACAATAACCTATTTCCCGACGACTACAATAACCTATTTCCCGACGACTACAATAACCTATTTCCCGAAGACTACAATGACCTATTTCCCGACGACTACAATAACCTTTTTCCCGACGACTACAATGACCTATTTCCCGACGACTACAATGACCTATTTCCCGACGACTACAATAACCTATTTCCCGACGACTACAATAACCTATTTCCCGACGACTACAATAACCTATTTCCCGACGACTACAATGACCTATTTCCCGACGACTACAATGACCTATTTCCCGAAGACTACAATAACCTATTTCCCGAAGACTACAATGACCTATTTCCCGAAGACTACAATGACCTATTTCCCAACGACTACAATAACCTATTTCCCGACGACTACAATAACCTATTTCCCGACGACTACAATAACCTATTTCCCGACGACTACAATAACCTATTTCCCGACGACTACAATGACCTATTTCCCGACGACTACAATGACCTATTTCCCGAAGACTACAATGACCTATTTCCCGACGACTATAATAACCTATTTCCCGACGACTACAATAACCTATTTCCCGACGACTACAATAACCTATTTCCCGACGACTACAATAACCTATTTCCCGAAGACTACAATAACCTATTTCCCGACGACTACAATAACCTATTTCCCGACAACTACAATAACCTATTTCCCGAAGACTACAATTACATTGACGTCAAGAGTTTTTGACACAGAAGGGGCGGTCGGGTATCCTAGTGGTTAAAGCGTTGGCTCGTCACGTCGAAGACCCGGGTTCGATTCCCGACATGGGAAGCCCATTTCTGGTGTTCCCCGCCGTCATATTGCTGGAATATTGCTTAAAGCGGCGTAAAATCATACTCACTATTGACACAGATTGTATTGTAAACAAAAGTAAAGAAAAAAAAAGAAAAAACAATGTGAATAAAAGCGACAAAACCCTTTTTTCTATTCACAAGGTTGTACGATGCCGACTACATCATTGGCATGCGTTTTATGAATCACTATCACATAGTGATAACACCAGGTGTTTGGGAAAAGGTGAGCGTATCCTGCCCACCTGTATTTAGCCATAAACAGACAGACTGGCAGATACTGGTATTTTAGAATTATAGCCCAGAGGACATGAGGAGATACTATTATATCTATGCAATAATAATTAGTATATAAGCAAATGAGTTTTTAAGAAAAAAGCATGTCTTTTCAAGATGAACCCATTACTAAAATTCAAAAGCAGGATAAAGGCTGGGTATACATGTTGATAGGTGCGAATATATGGTCGTCTACTTCAGGTATAAAACTGTCACACAAACAAAACGTTGCCTCCACTTTCTAGTAACTAACATTTCGGCTTCAATTAAAAGTGTTTCTCGGTAATGGGTTAATGGGTTTATTGAAACCATGTTAAGTGATGACAGAAAAACTATTTTTATCTTTAACTTTATAAGAACGTCAACTGGGCACGCATTGAACTCTGCTCTTTCATACAATGTCGTATCATTGGTGCTCATGTTATAGTGAGTGAGTATAGTTTTACGCCGCTTTTAGCAATATTCCAGCAATATCACGGCGAGTGACATCATTTTATAGACAACAGAATCTGATTCATATAACGCTAGACATTGAAAAAATATTTTTAGTGGCTATTGATATGACTTTAAATGACGAGACGATGCTAGAGAAACAGTTCCATTTTTAGCTTTACTCGAACACCTTCTGAAGGTCAACATTCGAATTGTATCGACTGTATTTTTAAAATATGTGTCAAAAAACGGAATTTACAGAAAATTCGTAACCTTTCGACCTTATAGTCCACCAAGAAGAGATTATACAAGACGAACATTTGCTTTTTACATGCCAGTATTGAAACTGTACATCTTTATATTGCTGCCTTAACATGCTAAATACTAACATGAAAATGTGTGCATTCCAGACCAACGAACGGACAATTTGAAATAAGAAACACCCAATTTTTTTCCCCGAATTATCATATAGTTTAAGAATAATATAGCAAGCAACGAGAAAAATCAATTGTAAGTATTACTAATCTAATCCAATATTTGATACAAGGACAATGGAAATCTATGCAAGGGTGATGTCAACCTAGTTATCAGGAAAACGGCGCAAGTTTTGAATATGTATATTTTTTTACATATGCGGCTAGGTTATAAAACCGGCATTCGTCTGGACTAGTACAAGCAGCAACACACACGCGTGCATGCACGTCGCTATATAAGTGCAAGCATCCTAGAAAATCATGTTAAACCACATTTTACCTCACAGCGCCATAAATTAATCGCAGGTTGATTCGCCATGCCGAAAACACAGACCCCTTCCCCTCATGGGTACAATGTGAGAAACCCGTAACTGGTGTATCGACCGTGCTGGAGCTAAACAAGGCAACAAACGTCGTAAATCAATACACGATTACACCCGTACCCTACTTCTTTGTCAGCGCTATCCTACCATCAAACCCCCTGATATCTGTCGGGTTCATCATCCTGAAACCAGTATCTAGCGGAACAAACGACCGAAGCCGCGCCATTGTATTTGTAAGCCACTGTGGCCACTAAATGTTTCTGCGGAATGCCAGGTGAGGGAGAGAGGGTCAGGAATAATTTCGAGAGAAAATGAGCCATACATCTTCATCAAATATAATTCCTTGAATATCAGGCCACATGTGTTTTTTTTTATCTGCTGTGACATCTTTGTTGAAATTCATGCCATACTTTACTATCTAATAAAACGTTCTTGAAGAACACCTACATGTAGGTAGGTAGGTAGGTAGGTAGGTAGGTAGGTAGGTAGGTTTATCAGGCCTCAATTCCTCATGTTATATAATATATCTGTAAGTAAATTGGTTCAAGACTATTGCACTTATCCAGCGTTTTGTGTGCGTACGTGCGGGCGTGCGGGCGTGCGGGCGTGCGGGCGAGCGTGTCGGTTTTATAGTGCTCGCTCGCTCTCTTAGACACCATGCCGCAGTTTGACATGAATACCCCACTCAAACGCAGTATACTGTCAAGTCAACCAGTCACTGACCAGTCGGAATACCAGGAAAATGAATGAATGACCGTAGCATCAATTTAATCTCTTAAATACGTAATACTGACTAAGTGCGTGAGTGAGTGTGTTTACGCCGCTTTAAGCAATACTCCAGCACTATCACTACGGGGTACACCAGAATGGGCTTCACACGTTATAGCCATGTTGATAATCGAAACCGGGTGTTCGGCGTGAAGAGCGAACGCCTTAACTACTGGGCCATCCTACCGCCCCACTGCCTAAGAAAGATGTAATTCCACCTTCCTGCACTAGTGCTGTAAAACGTCCGACACCGACCCCACTTCGTACCGGTATGTGGGGTCGAGATGTGCCGGCGTTCAGGGTCACTAACGCTGCAGTGTAGATATTACCAGTAGCATGATATTGTCACGGGATTAAGTGAGAAACAGTCGGCTGAAGGGGAAGTGAACTTTTTGACACTGATGTTAGTGACTTTAAAACTGCCTTATTTCCTCTTAACCACAAAAAACTCAAGTTATGGTCAGTGACACATATAAAGTGATACCATATTTATTTTTTACATTTTACATTTACAATTCCATTTTTGGAAACAAATTTGAACTACTACGATATTTGAAAAGCATTACATTTGTATATTGAGCCGTTTTAAAATTGTCTACACAAATTTTGCGTAACGTTGGGTAATTATCTTATGTCGTCATATGGCTGGAGTGGTTACAGGCCGGCAAAGCCACATTTCGAAAATACCGCTAGACACCGCTGGAATATTGCTGAGTGCGGCATTAAATAACAAAAAAACAAACAATATTACGCATACAGGTAACATTAACAGGGATATTCAGACAAGGGGTTATAGTTTGAATTGTAGCATTAAGCTGGATGTGAAGCCTATTTGTGGTGCCTCCAACAGTGATATTGCTGGAATATTGCTTAAAGTGTAATAACGTCATACTGACTGACTCACGCAAACCGAACATGCACACTCTGTAAATAAACATATAGGTACAGATGCGTAGAATATTGGGTGTTTAATCAGAGGAGAAACGTTTTTTTCACATCCCAAAGGACATTTGCATCCATAAAACATAATGTCATGTCTTTGTTGAGTTTCATTTAAATTTGAAATAATT